TACACATGCATTTGTTACTTCAAGATTAGACTACTCCCTTTACCTGGGCCTCCAATCTGCCCTTCTTCATAAACTACAACTTGTCCAAAATGCAGCGGCACGCCTTTTAACTGGTACTAGAAGGTTTGATTCTATTACCCCGATCCTTGCTGACCTACATTGGCTGCCCATCAAATATCGGATTGATTTTAAGATTTTATTTCTTACATTCAAAATCGTAAATAATATTGCCCCTTGCTATTTAACTGGACTTCTCTGCCAGTATACTCCTAGGAGAGCACTTCAATCATTGAGTCAAATGCTCTTGGTGCAACCTAGGTCCCGGCTGAAAACCAGAGGTGATCGTGCCTTTGCCATTGCTGCACCTAACCTCTGGAACAATCTTCCAGCTGAAATTCTCGCGTCTGAATTGTTTTAATCTTTTAAAACATGATTGAAATCTTATTTATTTGATCTTGCATTTCAGATTAGTTAGTGAGTTATCGGATGTACACTTTGTACTTTTATTGCATTTGTATGTAATTTTAACCTATTGTGTTACTGGGTTTTTCCAGTTGATATTTCTGTGTTGATTTTACCTAACTTTAACACTAGGTGTGAAATATTTCTTTTAACATAGTACTCACAGGTTAATTAGTGCTTTGTTATGTCTGGAAATGTATTTCTACTCTATTATTGTACCCATATGTATTTAATTTTATTTCATATTTTACTATTGAGAAGCACTTTGGTGTACCTCTGGTTTTAAATGTGCTATATAAATAAAGTATTGATTGATTGGCAAACAGCAAAATGGGTGCATTACTGCCACCAACCGGTCTGAGAGATATTACCCCAGTACCAGCTGGCTGTCGCATGAGGTTTATTGCTGATTGACAGCACCTGTGTGAAATAGTGCTCGAAGTGTGTATAAAAGCAGCAGGCTGTGTTTTGCTTCAGTATGGGCACTTTTTCTGTTGTTGTACCAGTTAGACAGAAAACTCATCATTTACTGTTGCGCAGCAGTTTTGAGAATGGGTAAGACTTTCTTCCTGGTAATTGCTTAAAGTTGTTTGGCCAAAGCTGATAGTCTTTGACAAGAAGAGTGAAAGGTTTCTGTGCTGAATGGAACTTTATGTTTTGTTTTGTTTTATTCTTTGGCTTTGCAGCCAAGAAAGTGCTGATTGTGTATGCCCATGAGAGCTCTACCTCCTTCAATGCTGCTGCCAAAGATGCTGCTGTGGCAGCTCTGACTGCTCAAGGCTGCACTGTACAGGTGTCTGACCTGTATGCCATGAAGTTCAAAGCTGCTGCTACTACTGAGGACATCACTGGTATACAAATATTCTGCAGGTATAGCAATGCTTTGATTGTGCTTCAGGTGTAAACATTAGCTTTATTTGCAGGTGGAGTGAAGGATGCTGAGAACTTCTGCTACGCAAAGGAGATCAAACTGGCATCAGAGGAGGGCAAACTTGCAGATGACATCAAAAAAGAGCAGGAGAAGCTCAAGAAGGCAGACCTTGTCATCTTTCAGGTAGTGTCTGGCTGGAATCCTCTTTGTGGTCAGCTAACAGGTGTCAACATCAAAAATGACCATTAAACCTGTGTTCCCAGTTCCCCATGTACTGGTCATCTGTTCCTGCAATCATGAAGGGGTGGATGGATCGGGTGTTGGGCTTTGCCTACGCACAGGAGAAGCGGTACAGTGAGGGGATCTTCAAGGTGAGCGCTCCACCAACATGTCTGTATTCAGGCTGTGTCCTCTCCCTCTTTACTCACTCCTTGCTCTCTGTACAGGACAAGAAAGCCATGCTGTCCTTCACCACTGACTGTCCTGAATCTGTGTACAGTGACACTGGCATCAATGGTGACATCAATGTCACACTGTGGCCACTGCAGGTGAGGTCTCACTATAAACAGAGCCACGCATTAAATGATCTGTCATGTGGTAACAGCTGCTCCTCCCTGTGTGCAGAACGGGATCCTGAACTACTGTGGCTTCCAGGTTTTTGCCCCTCAGATCTTCTGGGATCCTGCTACTGGTTCTCCTGAATCTCGCAGCTCCATGCTGGAG